TACCTGAGAAAGCCGTCACTACCACTCCCACAACGAAAACAACGAAGGATGAAATAATCGAAGAGCAGCCCGAGGTAGCCGTTGTCCCGAACGAGTCCGAAGGCCGTCCGAGAAGCCCTGTTCATGAAACATCAATTATTGTGCCTCAAATCGATTGGAGCCAGCAATCAAAAGAAAAGCAATTGTCCAGTGAAGGTACCAGTGACACTACCAGTTCCACGGATTCGGACGAAAATCAAATTCAAAAGTCTCCCAGCGTGAAAGCGTTTAATATTAATCCCGACTCTGAGTCTAGTACGAATATTAAAGATAATAATAATGACAATATTCCTATGGATAGTCTGAATTACATTTCGTATTCTAAGATTGAGAGTCAACCGAGTTCAATTCACGATCCGCCGAAGTCGATATCCAGCGAAAAGAAGGCATTGAACCAGCCGAAAACTTTACCCAAAATGGATGACGACCTTTTGTTGGCACAAGTTCATAGTGTTCTGCACAAACCTAAACCGAATATTGTGGTATCACATCAACCACCTAAACCGGAAGAGAACACCGAGCGGATAATCAGTGGGCGGAGTACTCCTTCCCATGAATCGGGTGTTTATCAGGTTACAGCTGCGTTGACTGAGACGGAACTTTCAGACTGGGCTCACGATGGTATGGTATCGGATGATTTTGCCGAATCTGACTACGAAGTCAAAGACCAGGAGAAACCCAAAGATAAACCTATATTTGCAAAGAAAGCTACCATTGTGGAAGCTGAAAATCTGCATGTTTTAAAGGCTGTGCGCAAGGAACCAGAAGAAGAGAAGTTTGAGTGCATTAGTAACATTTTATGTCCAACCCTTGACAATATCGAATTTATGGACACTGGCAGCGAAAGCAGTGAAGATGAAGATGTCTCTCCAACTAAAAATAATGGCTACGTGCAATTCCACGATGAAGATGATATTGCAGAAGATTCTCTTTCGCCAGTTATTAATATTGTGGAAGCTAAAAGTCCAATGATCAAAGCAACATTAGATGAAGATTTTGATGCCTTGTCGACAGTCGACAAAAACACTGGTTATTGCATCATAGCTGACGGCAATCAGGATTCTTACGGTGGCGAAGTTATTGACTTAAAACCTACAGATCTTCAAGTTTTGAAAGAGAAACAAAACATGTTTGACAACGAGGAGGATAGTCTGATAATTATAGAAAAGAGCACAACTGATGACAACACCTGCAGCGATTCCACAGTGAAGAATGTGACGGAGATAGCTCCCAGGGGAACAACCGCCTGCACCACCAGCACCGGTCCTTGCAGAAAACAACAACACACTGGATAAGAAACGCTTAGAAGATAAGTTAGCACAAGTTAAGAGTGAAATGAAGATGATCAGCGAACAACGCAAGGCTGCACATATTGAGGCAGAGAATATGCGCAATAATATTGACTTTGTTCAACACTGCCAAAGGTTGCAATCCAAAGTCGATTTCGGTAATGCCAAAGATTCTATTGATATACGTAAAGCTAGAAGGCAAAGTAAGTCGGGTAGTCCACCAAAACCTGACTTGATTCAAGAGGAGAAGGAGATTTCAAGCCCGATTCGCAGCCGCAGGAACAAATTGAAATGGAGCAGGATTTGAATAAGAAATTAGTGCAAGAGATGGTAATGAACAAAATGCGCGCAGAGAATAAGTCGTTGGAAAGAAAGAGAAGGAATCGCAATTTCAGTCCAAATTTGTCACCTAGTCGTCCTTATGAGTTGACGAAATCACCAACAACTGATATTGCATCACACATGCGTCATCCCACGCCCGATGTTTTACTCTCTACGATTAATAAAACTCCGATTCAGAAGTCCGAGACTTTGGCCGATTTTCATTCGGAAAGAGTGACACCACGAACGAAATATACTCCACTTTCATCGAACAATAGCCGCCCACTTTCTGCATTTGTGGCTGGAAGAAGTGATAATCTTAAATTGACGGAAAAGTCATTGCCGAATTCGGAAGCTTTTAGTTTGCCTGATATTCAAAAGGCAATTGATGGTGATTTTGTAACGCCAAAGGCTCCGCCACGGACCAAAAATGAAGGAAATCGAACGGTTGAGAAATTGAAAGAAGATGCGCGAGCACGTGCAAGATTATTAAGTGATGAAGACTTAGGTGTGTATTATTTTTAAACTAAAACATTGTTGTTATTAATTTATTTACGTTTTGAACATAGGATTGAGTCCAGAGGAAAAATTAGCGCAACTTCGTATGCGTTTAGCGCGGCGTGGTAAAGAGAACGACGATATTCATCTACAAGGCAACATTCATCCGCTTGCTGTAAATAGTGAACGACCCACGTCTTTATTCTACAAGAACGACACTCTGAATAAAAAGAAAATTGCTTCTTTTCGGCGTTCTAAGAGCGGTGACGATCATTTAAACCTAAAAGTGAGCAGTCAACCAACTCGCGAACGCACTAAATCTTTTGGAGAGGGCCAAATTAAACTTTCACTCAGATCTAGTGAAGGCTCGGAAGGAAAATGCTTTAAATCAGATCCGAACCTACTGCTTGATTCGGTCGAAGTGAACAAAAAGAAAGAAAAGAAATCCAAGGACAGAGAACGTAGAAAGAGCATCACTAAATTATTTACAGATTTTTCGCTAAAAAGAAAGATTTCAACGTTACATCGAGCCACAATAATAGTAACAATAAAGGATTTCTCTCAAGGATCTCGCCGAAGACAAAGGATAAATCGAAGGTTTGTTGTCCTTTACTGTGTTATTTGTATATCAATTTTATATAACTTCAATTTCAATGTGGCGCATTGTTCATCTCAGTTCATATGAGTTGCTCTTCATCAGTGTTTACAAGGACATTAATTAATTAATCTACGTGTTCGATTTTACAGTCATGCATTGACCTACACCAAAAAGATAGTGTAAGAGTTTTTAATTGTGAAATTTTATATTTTGTGCATGTTTTTTATTCCATTGTAGATGAGATTTAAACAGCTTGCGAATCATCAGGATTTACGAGTTTTACCTATTTTATTTAGCGTTGTTGTTGTTTTTGTATTAATTTTCGCTGAAGAACTAATATTTGTTGTTTTGAGTAGCTTCGATATGCATGATATGTTGAGTGATTTGGTAGAATTAATAAGAGGTATCAAATGTTGATGAACATAGATATTTAACTCTTAAAAGCGTTGAAAATCTTCGAGTCGTATTGATACTTGTCTTTTCTTAGTAAATAACTACTACAGCGTTCACATATTGATAATGCAATATTTTAACAGGAGATTTTAAAGGAAGAACCCGTGCGTCGAATGAGCTACACAGAAACGCGGCGATTTACACCTGGAAATGTTTCACCACCGCCGATTCCACCTTTACCTTTGAATTACACCGGAGCCAAATCTATTGGTATGCACCTTTTTAACTGTACATTAGTAAAAAATAACTTCATTCGCTTTTTGTTTTATTTTTAAAAGATGATAGTTCAGATGGTGAAGGTGAATGGAAGCGCAACGATCGAAGCTCATGTGATACATTGGATCAATCCGGAATACAAGAAGGTTCGATTTCTAGCCGAAGAAATAGCAGTAGAAGCGCACGCAAAGCACGCCAATCACAATCAAAAAGGTACTAAACATTCACGAAGTGTTTACTTCTCATCAATTCACTCTCACTCCAAAATTCAATTAAACCACGCACTATTAATTAATGTTAAATGTGTTAACAACTTGTCATTATACTAATACATAATAACTAACTATGTAGACACCGAATGGCTCAAGAAATTCAACGCAAACTTGAAGAAACAGATGTGAAGACGCGAGAATTAGAATTGCGAGGTGTGACGATTGAGAAAACGTTGCGTGGCGAGTGCGAATCGGCGAATCAGGATGAGACTGTCCTACTTAAGGAATGGTTTGATTTAATGAAGGACATTACGGAATTGAGAAGGTACGAACGGGAATTGATGGTGCGCGCACAGGAATTGGAACTTGAAGATAGGCATGCCAGGCTCCAACATGATCTTAAAGAACGTCTAAGCAACGGTAATTTATATTAAATTGATTATAGCTAAAGGTTAATAATTGTATTAAATGTTTGTTTGCAGAGCTTAAAAAATCTGAAAAAGATATTGAGACTGAGAGCAGTATTATACAGGAAATGTTGGACATTGTCGCCAAAAGAGACTCACTCATTGTTTTACTTGAAGAAGAACGATTAAGGTTGATTTTTGCATTAATATTTATTAATATTCACTTCACAACACTTAAAACTACATGTTAACATTGATATACGTTGTATACTTTAGAATCTGATTTTCCTGAAGTGTGTATTTTGTTGTTGGTTTGTTTAGGTATAAAGAAGAAGACAGAACACTTGAAGATCAAATGCTTGCTAAGGGAATTAACGTTGCTACAGTGATGTCCTCTGCGACGGCAGCAGCTACGAAGTAGGAATTGATACCGCTATACACACTTACTCTACCAGTACTTTATAAAAGAAATTCGATGTATAGGACGCCATGGTTGGTATTACTACAAGCAGGGTACTCATAACAATAGGTTTTGTCGGTTTTGAACGGACACAGCGAGTTGAATGAGCCACCTGAGCTTGTTTGTTTTAAACAAGTGACTAGCATTCAGAAGTTTGTTTGCGTCCTGGCTTTGTAACACGTCAACGAGTGCTGAGTTTACTCCAGTGATTTTGTGCACGTCCCAACTATTCTATTTTGCTTAATTTAATCAATGATTCACTTTTGTGTAAACTAGTCCTTAATTGATATACATGTTCAAGCGCGCGATATGCTATTTTTACTAATTGATTGTGTTTGTAACAAACGGAACAAAACGAGCGGTCGAAAGAAGAGAAAACTGAATTACAAGCTGTAATAAGGTCTGATGTGTATTTTTGGATAACGGAGTATTTGTAATTATGTACAGAGTTATTTTGTGAATGCAGATATTAGTGTTTTTTTTTTTGTGAATGATAAAAAGTGAGACTATAAGTGGTTGGTCCTTTTATTTCATTACATGCCGTGTGTTTAAAGCTGTGGTACTTAGGATTTATTGGCGAACTCACGTAGGCCTTCTTCGATGGTCGTTTTGGAGACGCCGGATTTGACTAGGATTGAGGTAACACCGATTCGTTGAATATCTTTGATATTGCGTTGTTCGTCATCGAAGAAAATCATCTCACTGTAGTCTATACCTGAGTCCTTTTTTATACTAAAATTTAAATATTTATAAAGCGAAATATGTATAAAGTAAATTATTTACTTGACAAAATGGGTAACTTTGCAACCAGGAAAGATCTGCTTGTAGGAAATGTATTTATTCCAATCGTAGAGTTGCAGTAAGGATTCCGCTCCGCGAATCTCACTCGTACGGGATGCAATTCCAATTTTACAACCGTCGTCAGTTAATTGTTTTAAAATTTCGGGGACGTCCGGATAGTGTTTCACTTTGCTGCCATGTGCATCAAGAACGTGCCCCTTTCTACAAAATAATAGTTAACTTTATTAAAAACAAAGCATAAAAACAAAATTTTATTTGATTTTCCCGGAAATTTAAAATAGTTGCCCCTTGTAATTATTTTAACCGCCAGGGTGCGCTTGGTTACATTCAAACCAGATGGTTGCAAAAAGATAAGTTCACAATAGTTGTTTGTTTGTTGTGTTGTTTAGTTGTTAAAAAGATGTCACGTTTCCTACATGTAAGTTTATTATTTACTTATTTATTTTGTGTAAGTAATTGCGGAATTTATATCATGACAAATAACGGTTTCCCGGGGATTTCCTCTGAATGTTTCATGAATGAATGACCTCTTGAACTTTACCTTTCCGCGTAAACTGTGTACACGCGCTAACCTTCAATTACCTTCCTCAAGGTTGCGCGTGGGTAACGAAAGTATTGATGATTTTCAAACGCCGGCTGTTCATCAGCCCCTCTTCAATTACTTATCAGAAAATAATGTTATGGCAACACATAAATCACACAAAATTGCACAATATATACACATCAGATGATGAAATACCACGCTAACTTAAATATTAATTAAATTTATTTGAAAACTTACTCTTTTCGAAACGGCGGCGTAACATGCGTGTCTACCCAAAAAGGCCATAGCGTATAATCTGAAAATAAAATAAATATTTATTAAAATACATATTTCCAAAAAATAAACCGTTAAAAAGTACCTAAATCAAATACTATTAGTGCCGGTTTTCGGGCAAGGACCGTCCTGGATGCGGAACCGGCTGAAGACATTTAGGAGCGTGAACTTCGATAACTTCCTGGCAATTGTTTCCAAGTTACGCGAACTTTTCCGTGAATGAATCAGTGAATCCTGCGACCTTGGGTAGACATGCGCACTCCTGCTACTCGCAGGAATCGGAATCACTCGATTTGCACGATGTAACGAGGAGGGGCGCTGTCATTGTCAAATACGTTTAAAAAAAAACGTTGCAAATCTATTCAGCCACCACACATTTATATAAATCATATGATAAGAGCAACTAATAGATACCATTTCGAAACGTATTCTATCAAGACGTTATCAAATCACGTGAATATGAAATATAATATAACACAGCTTACACAGTGTAATGAAATAAGTTCATGTGACATGAGTCGTAAAATGTTAATTATTAATTTGTTTCAATCGAAATGATAGCTTTTTTGCTTTTTTATGAACTTGAATAAATTTTTAGCTGTCTCAAGGTTATAACTAGCTGTATAAAACACAGACTGCTGCGTACATGCGGGAATGTGTTCACGATCTATTATTGCGCATTACACTACGTCATCACTTTTATTTATATGCCGCAAACGGTAAACTCCTACAACTTCCAGTGTAACGATAAAAATGAACATTTCTGTTTGAAAAGATTTATTTTAACACTAGATGATAATAATTAATAAACTACACGGTATTGTACAATTCAAATTCAAAATATACAACGCGAAACCCATGACATTACATTTTAATATTAAGAAACATTACATTAATGAAATGGGACATTTAAAAATAGTTATAATTATAAGGTCCTCTCCTATACTTAGATATACTTAAACTTATCTTTACTATAGTTATGTTACAAGCTAAAGCTAAAGTTATATAAACAAAACACGTTTTTAATCAGACAGCAAAGAGAAAAAGTAACACTGAACAAACCAGAGTTTTAAAAGATTGTTTATAAATATCCTTTGTGAGTGTTGCAGAAAAGAAAAACGAACTTATGAAACTATGCAACTAGATTTCTCTTGTACATTGCCATTTGCCTTCTCAATCTCATGAATGAGTGAGTGGAAAACATCAGACACTGAGGAGTTCTTTTTTGCTGAGGTTTCTAGGAACACACAATTCCAACTTTCTGCTAATTTCTTGCCCTCTTCTTCGGTGATTCTCCTCTGCATGTGAAGGTCTGTCTTGTTGCCAACTAACACAAGGGGCACATGGCCCTTACCCACAATGTCCAGTAGTTTATCATAGATCAATTTAACTATTTTGAAGGACTGTGCACTTGTGATGCTGTACACAAGCACATAACCATGGACATCAATGCTGTATTGATAGGGGAAGATAGAGTACTCGTCCTGACCGGCCGTATCCACCACGTTTAACTCGAATTCTTGGGAATTTATTCTGGTAGACTTTGTGAAGGTGTTCTCAATGGTTGGGTCATATGAGTCAACAAATTGACCCTCGACGAATTGTATACACAGTGATGACTTGCCCACGGACTTGCAGCCCATCACCGCGATTTTACGCTGTTTCGGTGGCATTGTTTATATGCAAGGTATTACGTCGTTATTGTTGTAGCGATGATTATTTATTTCGTCAGCTGCAGCCACTAACATTCCTCCTCACTACTTTGATCTGCTTGGTTATCTGCACGTTTTTGTTCCGTTATGTTAAGTTATATAATGTTCATTAACACTTCACCAATACCACACATAAACTGCGGAATTTACAGACGGTTGATCGCGAATTAATTAATTTCTACATAATAAATAACCTTCAGCGTGATTGTTAACTTTGACATTTTATTGACAGTCATTATAGCCACTAGGTGGCTTTGCTTTTATTCAAACGCAGATTTCTAATCTAGTTGTATATTTTTATTGCAGGGGGCGCTAGGTACACTAAACGAACGAACATTCGAGTTGTTTACAAAGCAAGTGCAGAACAGAACAGGTTTGCGAGTTCTTATCAGTTATCACCAGTAGAAGTGATCGTTTACAGTCTCGAGTAACGTTTTAATTCGGTTCTTCGTGTGGCTAAACGTGCTGCGAAAGAAACTAATTGGTGCCTCAGCAAAACTCTTTTCATCGTCGTATTGCAGATCCTGTGCTGGGGAGTCGAACGCATCAACGTATTCCTGCATCAAAAAGGTAAGAATTCCATTATTATTAATATGTACATATTGTTGTATTGTTATTTGTAACCGATATAACCTTGATGCCTTTGTCGTTGAACACGATGAGCAGCGGTGTTGCGCCGGATAAACCGCGTATGGCTTTGATTATGTCTTGAATTTTATGCGGGCTACATGTGCGAATCATACAAGAGTTGCTCTCCAAATCGATTACAAAAGAGACGATTCCTTGTACTTCCAATAATAAAACTTCATATGAACACTTCGATTCAACAGTTAAATCGGATAGATATAAATTGTAAACATTATACTTCCTGAAATTAACTCTGTTCGTTCTTGGGCGTTTCATTGCTGTTTTTAGCTGTTCACAAACGTAATTTACTTTCTCAATTATTTCTTTCGAGTATTTTTTGGTCCTTGAAATGACTCAATTACATTTATTTATTATTGTTCGGGGAAAAAATGATTGCTTACTTTATAGCTAAATAACTTAAGCCTTCATAGAGTCCAAATACATTGAGTATAGCCTGATGATTCTTGTTGACATCAACGAAATTCACCAGGATATCCAAACACAATTGCAAGATCTCTTCGTTTTTTGTCGCCAGCAAATTGGCAATAAACAACAGCATAGTCTTCTCCTGCAAAGGCATCAGATGATGAACGTATAACTCATAAATCTAAGATGCATCGCGCGTGAGACCTTCAGCAATTGATTGTGGTTATCCGGAAGATCGGACATTTTTTTGTACGCCTGCAACATCTTGATACATTCTAACGTCTTCGTCTTCATGTGTAGCTTCGGTGAGCTGGTCTCCATTTCTCGCACGCGATTATTTGTTATGATGTGTGTTGTGAGTTGAAACGCTGATTAATAGAAACGTGTCGCCGCGGCCGTAATTACATCAATCAAATACCCAATGACGTTGGCCGCCTCGATTAATCACCGTTCGACGGCGAGTCGATCAGTGTTATCACAGCGCGTTTGATTAATGTAATTATTTGTTTTAATAACTTTGCACATGCAATGGCTAGGATCTCCGGTTGAACATTTAATTTAATTTATAATTGTAAAAATTATATGTTGTGTGCTATGCTAACAATGTTAGGGTCAGATTCCTGTGTGTGTGTGAGTGTTTCAACGCAGGTGAAACGTGCGCGGCGCGCTTCCATTGTCACGCCTTGCCTGACCACGCCGACTCGTATTCATGTTTTCCTGGTGGAAAACTGACTCCTGCGTCTTCGCACGGCGTTGGTAATGTCGGCGCAACTCGGGAACGGGGCTTGTCATCGCAAGCGCACAAGCAGGTTGATAATTTTGGCACATGCTCGATGCGCAGCGGGCGGGGCTGCCAACTTGTTTACGACTACACCATCATAACAAAACTTTTCATTCTCAAATAAATCGTGAAATCTTTTCGAAAACTAGTTAAAATTCTTGAGATTTTTTTACTTTGTCGAAATATTATAATTAAGCATTTATCAACAATTCGGTATGTAAATTTCCGTATTTAACTAATGAATGATAAAATATTCACGCATAGTTTCTGATGCATGGACACACGTCGACGGAATTGAATATTTGTCGGCGCTAGGTCTTTGATACAAAGGTTTGTTTGACCTCTTCGGATAAGTTGGAGGCGATTTTTAATGATACGTTTTCACAAAGGCACGAAAATTGTCGGTGCCACTTTTAAGGCATTTTTTTCCTCGACCGGCGAAATTCTATGCGCATTTAGAAGAGTTCCTCGGGACGCATGTCTAGACGCGACGCTTGGAGGCAACTATATCGTAGTCGTATATGAAATAAATTCGGCCTTTCCGAGCCGGGCCGAAAAATACCCCGGTTTTTCGGTGCGTTTGCTTTTTTTTGGCCGAAATTGTTGTTTTTTTCGATGTTGACTGCCATCGGATCGACGCGTACGTAGGCACTTACGCATCAACTTCATCACGTTTTTTTCTCCTCCTGTCCTTCTGCGCGTACGCACACACCGCATCTTCGCATCCCTGACGTGTGCGGCGCAGCATCTCTCCGCGGCGGCGGGTTAGGTATTTCGGGCCACTCCGACTCCGTCACGGCAAAAGACACTGGAATGGACGCAAAACCGGCAATTACAAAACGTAATTATATCCTCCGAGAGCGTTTAATTACCGTTGTGGGAGATATATGCGCACCTCAATCGGTACCATTAAGTACCCCGCGCGTACATAATTTTCGTTTAATTGTTGATTCTCATTATTAAGTGCAGCGCCAAATTAAACGCTCCACCGTCCGTGCCGCAATTTTATTGCTTTTGATCATTCCCCGCGCTCGCGTCTTGTTTTACGGCTCGGCTTCTAAACTGGGAAAAAAGGAAAATCCACTTCATGCATTCAATCGTCGACAAAACCGACAACGAATTTTCATTACGTGTTCTTTACTTTGTGCTAATTTGCAACAGTTTTTTGTTTGTTGTTTTGTAACGTTTTCTAAAATATAGTTTCTCGAAAAAAATGTAAAACTCATTGGCCCACGAAGCTGAGAGTCTAGCGTACGACAAGAGCAATTTTAATCTCTTGTCGACACGGAAATTAACTGAAACAAATTGTCGGCAGGACGTCGTCGGGATAACGCGATGCGACGTGCGACGAAATCTCGTCCGTCGCGAGGGTTATTTTTATGGTGACTTCGACAATCGCGCTGCATGACGCTAATTTATACATACAGAACACCTACTTCTGTCAATTACATCTGCCGGCGCGCGTAAACGCTCAATTTTACGTAAAACTTTCGTTTGTTGCTGTCGCGCATGCCTAGAAATTCTTTCCGCCGAATTCTCCTCCAACCGCACAGCCGCCGACTAAGACTAATGAACATTGCCCGCTTTGACAGGATTTAATTATATTTCACGGACCACTGTGCGGACCACGGTGTATCAAATCCTCACACGCGGCTCACAGAAGTGTCCGAGCAGCCATAAATCATGCAATCGGATAATAGAAATGGTTGCGCAAAGGACGCGCGTTGACCTCATTAGATTATTTAAGACGGTTTGTCTCCTAATTGTTTTCAAGTGCGTTAATTACTTTTATCAATTACGCGATAATTACTCGTAGGTTATTTTCATAATTAATTATGCGCACACTACACTAATTTATTACCAGTCATGTTTTGAAGAATTTTAACGAAAATTCTTTTGTGTTGTACACGATTGTATTACGTGCGTAGGTATGTGTGCGATGCGTTGCGAAAACGATGGGGTTATTATCGAAGGCACCATAAAATGGTAGACCGGTAGTTGGGAGTAATTAAACCGATTGCCTTCTAATTGCTCTGATTTATAATCGTCGTGCCTTCGGGTGCTTTACGTCCCGGGACGGGCAAAAAACACGCGAGCTCGATCAGTCTGGACTGTGAGAGGAACTAAGCGCCGCCACCGCCACGATTGGGTTCCGTCCCACGCAATTAAACCGAAAACATTTTTTCATGATTTATGAACGAAAAATGTTTTAATAAAAATTGGTTTCGTAAATCCAGTTCTGGATTTCACGAAAACAAAATAACTGCAAGCATTTCTGAATGTTTTGAGTGGGTGCTCGAGGAATTCCATCGTAAAATTATATCAGGTAATTACTCCGCACACATTTAATAACAGTTATCATTTTATTTCGCTAAAAATGGGCACGAGCTATAACATTTTATTAACAGTGAACTCCTCGAAGCCGAATTCGGCGCCGCGCTCCGGAATCAGGTAGATCATAAATCATAAAAAATCAACCCAAATTATTCCTAGATTTTAATTGAGCGCTGAACTGATTTCGAGGCAGGCGGTTGACGTGCGCAGCGCGCGATTTGAGGAACCTCGAAGAAAGGTCTCTCGCCTTTGGCGCAAACCGCACGAGGTAGAGAATAATTGTCCAAAGGTGGGTGGATCGGAATGGGCTCGGATCTGCTCTCGGCCATTCGCCGCTTTTGATTATTTTCGCATTAAATATCAAACGCACTGACATTAGAACTTGATAATATGGTCAGCGCTAACAAAATATAGGGGTGAACTTGTGTCAATCACTAGGTGATATTGTAAAAATAGGGTATCAAAGGGGACAGGGGCACAAAAATGTTCTTTTTTTGACTTGGGGTGTAGAACTTCTAAAAAACATTTCGATATATTTTTTGTCTTTTATTTCTTTTGTTACAGTTAAATTTGTTTTTTAAATTTAATTTCACCATAGAATGATTAAAATATCGTTAAGAAAATTTAATCGAATTTCCCATCAACTTGATAGAATCGTAAGTGTGATTAATGGAAAGAGTAGGATAATAGTTTTCCTATTATGCGGCTTGCGGGGTGCGATCCAAATAAGCTTTGCGCTTGACTCAACATCAAAGCGCGTCTGTCCGTTCGGAGATTATTTATGAACCCTGGCACTAGTCCTGAATTACGACTCACTTGCACTCCATAAACATTACGCCGAATGTTTTACCAACAAACTAACTGTCCGACACCGACAACGGACACGCCGTACATTCCCGAAACACACAAATAAACAACCAGACACAGGCGTGCGTCGCCGAACACGAAAAAAATAACTATTTACTATAAAGATTGTGATCATTTGTCATGTCCGCGAGCCGTGCGACAACGCCGCGCTTAGAACCGCTACCAAAGCTACAAGACGCTACATGCAAATAATTGCTTTTGTCCATCTCCATTATGATCTCTTCGCGGCGAGGTTGTTGCCTGCGTTACATTTTAATTTTATTTTATTCAGTTATGACTTGCTATACCTACGGGAATTTCAAATTAACAACGCGCTGTGTTTTGTCTCTTGCGCAAGCACATAATAAGTTAGGACTAACAAATTGCCATGCTAATTCTAATGAAATAGAAATGACATTTAATGGCGACAGGCTTAATGTAAACGAAGATGCGCTCTGCTCGCAGAGCGTTAAGTCACGTGCGACCACCTGTAGATCTGTGGATGTGCCGCCTCTTAATAGAAATGTTTGAGAATTATTGGTCGTTGGACTCATTTTAAATCGACTTTCGGAGTCGCCGCGAAACGCACCGATAGCTTTATGAGGCGTAAAGTAACACGTTTATTGCAGGAAAATTTTCAAGCACATATAAATACTCGAATACACCGAGTATGATTGAGAAAACGTCTTTGTTGCATTTCCGAAAACCATTACGCCGGTCATTAGCGCAATTTAATTTCCAAAACCACCCAAAAATCAGCCCTGTTTTGCGAAAACAGATTTATTACCCAAAGGCATAAATCAGTCCGGCAATTTGCATTCATAATAAATTCGGATTTGAAATAAATGTCCCTGTTAAGAGTATTTTCACTCTGTAAGTATGTATGCACAGACGAGTATGAAGCGCTTTTCGAAACCTAAAAATACCAAAAATCGTGAAATCGTGTAGGTTCGTGTAGGTTCCGCTTGGAAGACAACAGACGCAGTTAAGAAGAATTGATGTCGTTGTTTGTGCGCGCCATGCTCCGCATCTTAACGAGTTGACATCTTTTATTTGACTAGATTACTGTACCAATTCATTAAGCGCGCGCTGCTGTGTCGTGAGCCGTAAACGCACTTCGGTTATGCCATTCGAGCGCGTTTGTTGGGGACAAAAAATATTGCCCGGGGACCTTTTATCTTATTCCACGCCCGCACGCCCAACTGGCTGCGTGTTGTGTGTTACTGTTTCGGGGACCAGAGCGCACTTGTCAAAATAAATTTTACGCATATTTCTATGCGCATTTATCACCACTGATTTTTTTTCCAGACTCGTAAATTTTCCAAACCATTTCGGCTATTTTACAGTTTTATAAGCACGCAGGTGACTAAAACTAACATTGGTTGACGTTACTTTCACGCTTTAAGAGTTCTGGACGTCATAATTCAGAAATTATTGACTTAAGTAAATGCGTAGCAGTTGATGAGTGTGACATTATTAACAATTAATTGCTATGTAGAGGTAATATAAGTAACACTCATATGGTAGCTACGACGCAATATGTAATCATCTACCGTAT